GAAAATTTTCAGTGAAAAAAGTCATAGTATAGTTGTTGAAAATTTTCAGTAAAAAAAAGTCATAGTAAAGTATGTCGAAAATTTTCAGTGAAAAAAGTCGTAGTATAGTATGTCGAAAAATGTAACTGAAAAAAGTCATAGTATAGTATGTTGAAAATTTTCAGTGAAAAAAGTCATAGTATAATATGTTGAAAATTTTAAGTAAAAAAAAAGTCATAGTATAGTATGTTGAAAATTTTCAGTGAAAAAAGTCATAGTATAGTATGTCGAAACATTTCTCAAAAAATAAAAATAAAAAAATCATAGTATAGTTAAGTCATAATTTTATATAAAATGTCATAGTATAGTATGTGCCAAAAAATGTATCGGAACGTAATGGTATGTCATAAAAGTTTTAGAAAAGTTACAGTATAGTGTGCAAATTTTAAGACAAAGTTAACAGACATTTTCCAGAATTTTCATATAAAAAGTCAAAGTAAGTCAGAAATATTTTATATAAAAGGCCATAGTCAAGTATGTCATAAATGATAGTATGATAGTACCTCATCTTCCTACCAAAATTCGAGAAGCTACCTCAGTCAATTAATTCAAAAGTAACCTCAAAACACCTCTCTTGGCATTAACCTTCAGTCTCACTTAGTTTGCCCTAAATACTAAACCTCAGTAAAAGAACTTATACCCATTCTATGTGCTCATTGTTATGTATAGATACTGTATGTTTTACATACTACTTGTGTTTTAACGTGTTGTCTCCATTTTTTTTTTGCAAATTTTGATACTCATTATTGTTTAATTTATGTATTCTACGTGTCAAATATTCCATTTGTAATGCTTTGTATGTAGTTAATATATAATATAAAGTATTACTATATGTGTAGCCCTTTGAGATATGCTTTGTGACTTTGGTCTGTAAAAAACTTTAACTTGACTTTGACATATAAAAGTATAAAGATGAATGTACCCATACATACAGTTGTGTGTGTGCATGTGTGTTAGTGTCCCCACCTGGCTGCCTCCGTGCTCGGTGTCAATGTATCTCGGCATTGGGAAGCGAGTGTGCAGCAGCTCCTGAGCGTCGTCCACCGGAGCCTGAAGGAGGTGTTTGAAGTTCTCATACTCAGGCATTTCCTGATAACCAGCCTTCCTCCACTGAGCTACAGTCTGACAGACAGAGAAGAGGGATTAATAACCAGCCTTCCTCCACTGAGCTACAGTCTGACAGACAGAGAAGAGGGATTAATAACCAGCCTTCCTCCACTGAGCTACAGATAGCTGGTGTCAGAGAGAGAGATGTGCTTTAGTCCCAAATTGGGAAATTCTTAATCATCTGACAGAAAGAGACAAGATTAATAATAGGGTCACTTTATTTTGAAGGATCTTTTCACCAAACCCTTATTGTGAAGGACAATGTTTTATATGAGAGCTATAAAGTTACTCATTGATCTGACATTTATTAATGATGACCGACATATGATGATGATTTACAGATGATGAATCACTGATACAGATGATATAAATGACCTCTTTGTGTGTGTGTGTGTGTGTGTGTACCTCTCCGTGGTAGATGAGGATCTGGAAGAAAGTGTCCATTAGTAGGATTCGGTCTGGCAGGATGCTGCTGCTGTCCAAAAGGACCGGCTGAAACACACAAACACATACAGGGGTGTAGAGGTGGATATACAGGTGTGATGGTGTGTTCAGGTGTATATATAGGGGGGTAAATACCTCAGGCGGCCCGTTAAATGAATAAGCGTAGAGCACTGGTTGGATCATGATGAGAGCCTGAGTCAGATCCTGTCTGTTGAACTGATGTCTGTAATATGAACTCTCATCTGGACTGTTGTTGAACACCTGCAGGAACGGAGAACGCCGCAGGTGGAACATGAACTGGAAAAAAAACAAAAAAACAGAATAATTTAACATCATCTTTCAGATGTTACAGTTTGAACAGGTGATGTATTAATACATGTTCGGCAAGTGCAGTATACATCCAACCACTGTTATCCTAAAGCAGCACATAGTGGTACGTAAAGAGGGCAGAGGAGGAGCGTGCTGGTTTATTTTATTTATACAGAGAACAGTATTTTCCAATTTTGTATTAAGGTGATTTAAATAACTCACTCAAGATTTTTGTTTCAAAATGCCTTACAAGGGTCAGTTTAACTCGTGGGGGCGAATTACCCCCAGATCCCCCTGGAGGGTTGGATCACAGAGGGTGTCGATTGAAAATGACGCCCTCCCGTGTTCAATAGGTGATTAAGACCCTGCTGTATGTAGAATGTATGTGTGGCAGGTACAGCAGAGTATTATGGGATCTAAAGCAGAGTGTTTTGGGATGTAAATCACCTGAGGGTAGAGGGAGAAGGTCTCAGAGAACCTGAAGGAGTTTGGATCATCTTTGTGGTAATCTCCAAACTTCTGACACTGAACAGAAACAGACGGATTCAAGTTAAAATCATCATCCTGATTATTAATTATTATCATTATTACATTATTATATTTTTATTTCTAACACACCAATCTGATGAGCTGTCTGTCCAACCATCGGAGGACATCAGGACCCTCCTCCGTCTCCGCCCGGTACACCGCCAACCTCGCCATCAAGATGGCCGCCGCCTCCTGATCAAATGACGCTGTGATGCTTTGAATTTGAGTCTGAGCATCTGCCCAGCTGGTAGAGGAGGGAGGAGGATAAGGGGGAAGGAGAAAGGAAGGGGAGGAAATAAAAAGAGGAGAGGGTGGGAGGAGGTTTAGGATGAAAGAGGAGAGGGAGGAGATGAAAAGAAAGTGAAAATAGGAGAGGGGAGAAAGAAAAAGGAGATAATAAAAAAGTAGAGAAGGAAAGAGAGAATGAGAGGAGGAAAGAGGGAGGGAACGAAGAGGGGAAGGCAGAGACCAGAGAAGAAGAAATGAGTCTACAGTGTAGTTATTCTTGAATCATAATGTCTTCAAGCTTTCATTAGTATCAAAGTCATCAGGTGACAGTTTTCTGTACGTCCATGGGTACACTGCGAGCTGGAGCAGGAGCTGCTCACAGATCATCCAGCACACTGTGATTGGTGTTGTGTCATCATGACTGTTATTATTACTATCATTATTAAAAATGAACCAATAAATGGATTAAAGTCACCGACTGGAGCAGGTGATGTTAAAGTCACTCCACCTCCACTTCAGACAGAAATCAAGTCTGAATGGAGATTATGTGTTTATGTGTATATGAGTGTGTCTATAGGTGTGTACATAAGTGTGTATGAGTGTGTGTGTGACCGTACTTCCTGGCGGTGGTGGTGACTCTGATGCGTCTCTGTCCTGATGAGTGTTGGTACTGAGTGACAAACTGGATCGCTCCACGGCCGCCCTGAGGGATCGGAGCGTTGTGCTGCAACAACAAACAACAACAAACCGGTTGAACAGCTGGAAACATCTGGACTGCAGATCAATTAGCAATCAATAATTTGATCCTTCAACTGTGGTCAGGCTGTTTGCAGTCTGTGTTTTGTTTTCACATCCCACACACCTTGACTTAATTTTGACTGAAGCTTTATTTTAAGGTACTTGTACTTTCTGCATTCCACAACCCTAATGCCAAAAAAGTTGGGACACTGTGTAAAGCTTAAACAAAAAAAGAATGCAATAATAAATATAAAAAATTATAATTAAAAAAAAAAATTATAAAAAAAATATATACAATGTACAAGGACGCAGTGTTGTTTGTACTGCCCCTCTGTGACTGTTCGGGAGTTCATCAGAGCGAAAGCCTGGGGGAAGAAAGTGTCTTTGTGACAGGTGGTTTTGGCGGACAGTGCTCTGTAGCGCCTACTGGAGGGGGGAGTTTAAACAGATTGGGTCAGGGGTGTGAGGGGTCTAGACAGTTTCCTGTCCCTTGACCTGTACAGGTCCTCGATGGAGGGAAAATCAGTACCAATAATCAGATCCAAACCAGACGGTGATGGATGCGCAGAGAACAGACTGGATTATGGCTGTGTAGAACATGAGCAGCAGTTCTTGAGGCAGGTTGAGCTTCCTGAGCTGTCGCAGGAAGTACAGCCTCTGCTGGGCCTTTTTCCGGACAGTGTCTATGTGGGAGGTCCACTTCAAGTCCTGAGAGACTGTGGTACCGAGAAACCTGAAGGTGTCCACAGTAGACACTGTGCTGTTGAGGATGGTGAGGCGGGGCAGTGTTGGGGGGGCTTCTCCTGAGGTCCACTGTCATCTCCACAGTCTTGAGCGGGTTCAGCTCCAGGTGGTTCTGACCACCCCAGAGGACCAGCTGCTCCCCCTCCTGTCTGTATGCAGACTCATCACAGTCCCGGATTAGACTGATGACCGTGGTGTTGTCCGCAAATTTTCACAGAAGGGTCCCCTGAGGTGCAGTCGTTGGTATACAGGGAGAAAAGCAGTGGGGAGAGGACACACCCCTGGGGGGCGCCAATGCTGATGGACCGGGAGCTGGATGTGATGTTCCCCAGCCTCACTCGCTGCCTCCTGTCAGTCAAGAAGCTGGTAATCCACTGACAGGTGGAGGCAGGCACCGTGAGCTGGATGAGCTTCTTGTGGAGTATTTCAAGGATGATGGTGTTGAAAGCCAAGCTGAAGTCCACAAACAGGATCCTTGCGCAAGTCCCTGGGGAGTCGAGGTGGTGCAAAAAAAGATATCCACTCATTCTGAATTTGATGCCTGCAACACATTTCAAAAAAGTTGGGACAAGGCCAGCAAAAGACTGAGGAAGTTGCTGAATGCTCACAAAACGCCTGTTTTGAACAATTCACAGGTAAACAGGTTAATTAGTAACAGGTGATAATATCATGACTGAGTATGAAAGCAGCTGGAAAGCAGCCACTTACGATTGTTGTGAAAAGAAAAGGTGATGTCACATGGTGGTAAACTCCTGTCCCAACCTTTTGGAACGTGTTGCAGGCATCAAATTCAGAATAAGTGTATACTCACAAAAAAAATTCACTATATCTTAATAAAAAAGGTTTCTTTGTGTAAAATATAACATAAATATTAAATATCATTTCATATCTAGGTCAATAAGGATTTACAAATCATTGCATACTGTTTTTATTTCCACAGCGTCCCATCTTTTTTGGAAGAGGGGTCACACTTTGAGGCCAGGGATTTTTAACAAAATAAAGAAGAAATCAGTTTGTGTTGAAGCTGAAAACCTTCATGAAGGATACGCTGCAGGACTGTTGTTAGACTGTGTTGGTTTAAGTGTATAATAAGACTTAAGGAAATTTGTCTGAGAGTATTTATGTACAACTGTATTTATGTCAGCAACTACATCTTTTACTTGTAGTGGAGTATTTTTACATAGTGGTCGTCATACTTTTACTGACATGAAGAATTATTAGAATTATCATAAGAATACAGTGTAGCAACAGGTAAATATATGCATCAGTCACAACTGACGTCCACCCTGCACAGCTACACTGAATCTGAAATATAACGTTAAACAAAGTGTAGGACAGATCACTACTCTCTCTGATTGGCTGCTTTACACCTGGACGCAACCTAAGCTCCTCAGTGGTTTGAGTGGTTAAACAGCAGCAGGATGATGGTGATTACACACCTGCACACCTGTCATTACCTGCATCACACACACACACACACGCACACACACACAGGATATTGGATGTTGAGGTAGTGTTGACATTAAAGTCAGGTAATAACTTAGTGTGTGTATGTGTGTTTGTGTGTGTGTGTGTCCTCTCATCATCATCTCAGCAGGTGACTGACAGGTGCACCACAGCAACGCTGCCTCTGGAGACACACATGCAGACAGCAGGACACTCCTCGTGCAGTTTGTCCCCCTTCAGCCTCAGAGCTGATCAGACTCTGATGGTCTCAGATCAGATTTAAACCACGTCTTCAAAGATCAAACTGATCCCTGATATTGATCACAGACTGGTTTTGGTTCATTTGACCTTTGCACTGCTTCATTTGAGGAGGAAGAAGACTCAACTCTTTTTTCTTTGGCACGTAGTCGCAGTTTGTGGACATCGGTTCGTGTTTCCACCTCGTTAAGATGAACAGTATGGCTGATCAGTGTCGCTCAGCGCTCCGAACTCCACCCTGATTGTTCAAGGCTCATTGGAGAGTTTCAACGTGCAGAGCAGGTGGACTCATTCAGAGTCCTCCAGTGGAAACAAGCTGATGGATTTATAATAACATTTTACATCACACACACTCACTCAGTGTGTTCGGGATCAGTCAGCTCACCACTGTGACTCATCTAACTTAAACCGAGCGGATCATCTCTGGAGCCTGAGGTCCAACCAACCTGCTCTGTTTATATCAAAGTCGTCTGGTGTCTCAGGTCAGGACAACAACATGGAGGACGTGTGATGGCTCCACAGAGCCAGAAAATTTGGAAGTGGGACAGAGTCAAGGTGAAGCTGAGGTGGAAGCTGCAGTAAAGACAGTAGAACAGGGCTGTGCAGGACGAGTCGAATCGGATTCATCTGTGCGATACAATTATTGGACTATTCAATCCTTTTTTCTATGCAGAGTTTGAGATTCTGGATGTTTAATGTGACAGTGATACTCACATAATATAGTAACAAGCTAACTGTGCTAACAACTCATTGGAAATGTGCTACAACATTTTTTGCTGACACAAGAGATCAGAGACTGTCGCATTAAATTGCTGTGAGCTGTTAATTCACCACCGCTAAGCAGAGGGCAGAAGGTAACATTATCTCGGAGACTTATGTTGCAGAGCGTCTCTGGGTCTGCAGCTGCCTGTACCAAAGAGCAGTGTGAAAACAAGGAGCACTCACTCTGCAGCTAAATCTGGGGACAGAACGTGGCACACTGACTCACGAAACAACAAAAAACGTGACTTCAACTGATAACTCGAATCTCTGACTTTGAGGGAGCAGCCCTGCAGTAGAAGCTGCAGTAAAGAGGGTTTGTGTTGCTGTTTTACTTTAATGGATGTCAGATGACAACATGACACACACTAAAAGGTCCTGGGTTGTGTTAAGGTTCAGTCGGTTCACCACAGTGACTCATCAGTATAACTCTGTGTGACTTTGTGGTACAGTCTGTTTATATCAGAGACTTCTGTCCAGGTCTGAACCTCAGACTGAACAACACCACGGAGGAGGTTTGGAGTCGTCAGTGTCTGGTTTCTGAGGACAATTAACCGATAAGTTAATCGTTGTTTTTTTGGGGAGCAAACAAGCAAATTGAAGACATTAACTTAGGGCTCTAGAAAATGTGACAGGCATTTTTTTTAACAGTTTTCTGACATTTTGAAATGGTAAGTCAAAGAAAAGTGGACTATTCTGGGATAAACTGTGACCTGAGAATCTTCACAAACTATTTACTGACGATTAATCGATTGAGTGCATGATCAGCTGATTCGTCAATGACGGAAGCCGTTGCTAATTGAAAAGATTAAGTTTGAACGTTGATATCATCCTGGAGGAGGCTGCGGTGAGACAACCTGCCAGTCAAACCACTTTTTTCTGGACTTTTAATCTGAAAATCTGCGTTCAGACTGAGATGTGGATGAAGTCAATGTGCTGAGAGCAGAACTCCGAGACTCTGATCAGAGCAGCATCTCCCCCAGGTTCCTGCAGGTCCTCATGTAAAAGCGTCCATGTGAGGATGGCGGACGCTCTGAGGACGCTGTACGGCAGTCTGATGGTTCTGTTGGGCGTGGCCTCTGTCTGTGGGAACCTCCTCCTCTTGCTGGTGCTCCTCCTCAACAAGGAGCTCCGTACAGACACGCTTGGCCTCACCTTGAGCTTTGGCATCAGCGACTTGGCACTCGGACTCTCCACCATTCCCTTTGGGGCCTATAACAGCCTGGTCCAGCCCTCCTGCTGCCCCAGTGAGGGCGCCTTCTGTCAGGGCAGCGGCTTCATCTTCGTCCTCCTGCAGACCTCCTCCATCCACTCGCTAACCTGGGCCACTGTCGACAAGTTCACCGAGATCTGCTTCGCCCTCAGCTACCGCACCATCTGGACAGCCAGGCGGAGCAGGATGGTGCTGGTCTTGATCTGGTTGTTCTGCCTGGTGAACGCGGCCCTGCCACTGCTGGGCTTCGGCAGCTACATCTACAGCGAGTCGCGGTTCCTCTGCTGCCCGAGCTTCACCCCTGAAAACAAGTGCTTTGTGGTGCTGTGGATGTTGGTGGGCATCGTGGTGCCAATCCTCACCATGTGCTCTCTGTATGGGTACATCGTGTACGTGGCCAGGAAACAGGCCAGGAGGGGAACATTCATGTGCAACGACCTCCACTGCTACTACGTCCCTGCCAACAATTACCTGAGAAGCTCCATCGTGATGGTCACAACCTCAGGTGAGTTCATGCTTCACCCAGTTTGTCCGAACTCTTTTCAAACCAACAGAACTTTATTTTAAACTCTAGCAGTGATCACAAAGTGTCAAAAGATCCCACATATCAGGCAGAATTTTGGGTCAAAAGTCTTTAAAATTATGTTTAAAGTTTCTTCTAATTGTAAATTAGCCGACAGCGGAAAAGAAGTGCAATTTGAATTCTTCTTCTTTCTGTCACCATATCAACGTTACATAGGTTATACGCAGCACTGAGGGACTGTCTCTGAGCCTCTCTCCCCAAAGTCAGTTCACCATCTGCCTGGTAGCGCGAGCTAACATCCAACAGCGAGAACTTTAAATGTCATTACAACCGTTAATAACTGTAATGTTCGCTCTGTGATACCAACAGTAAGCCCTGTTCCTGTGTATGTGTTTGCAAGCGGACTCTCACCAGCTGTTCCCCAGTGTAGAGCTCACACTCCTGCAGCAGTAGTCTCATGACTAGTTCCCAATTTGGTCCAGCCAGGGCGTCCAGATTTCTCCTCAGTCATTAGTTCAAGGTCCACAGTTAAAAATATTCAGTGTCATACTTGCGTCGAGCTAGTTTGCTGTCTCTGTTAAGTAGCTGTCTGTTAGTCACTCACTCTACAGAAGAAAACGAGTACTCAAGTACTCAAGTACCATGCCCATCCCTACTCATAACCTTAATATTTCTAAAATCTTGGTAAGTAGAGTTAGCGCTCGGAAAATGTACATTAAAGTGGGTCGCGGATCCATTCTGGATGGACCTGAAGTGACTTGCGAATGTGTCTATTGTGTTTATTTTAAAAAAAAAACAACAGTTTTTTTAGTACAATGAAAATCTGGACCAGAGCTTTTATTTTGAAGTGGCATCTCCTGCTGTAGAGTGAGTGAATATCAGACAGCTCCTTGACAGAGACAGTAAACTAGCTCAACGACATGGCCAAACACAAGTATGACACTGAATATTTTAAACTGTGGGACCTTGAACTAATGACTCTGGAAATCTGGGCTGGACCATTTGGGAGCCACTGACTAAGTATATAGGAAATGTTTGTACCTATTATCTGAGTCTTTATTTGAATGCCAGCTTTAATGAAGAATTCACAGTAACCTGATAGCTCTGTAAATGCAGAGGACAAACAGTGTGATTATAAACATGTAGAGCAGGTTGTAAATTTCTGATTTATACTTTAATATAATCTGTCAAAAGATATCTGAGTGGTCGGTTAGCAAACATTGTTTAAATGAAGATGTGCTCATAAAACTCAGTACAGGAGAATCGTGTGCATGTTGCCATGACAACAGGATGTCTAGGGTTAAATCCCGAGATGAGGATCAGCTTCTATGTTTGCTCTCATGACTCTCTGTCATTACTCTCATTAAGATGACACACAGTGATGATGTCATAAAAACAGGGAGGGTCAAAGGTCACCAACAGCAGCGCAGAAACCAGACTACAGTTTTATGTTCTGGCCGTCAGTTTGAATCATTTTAACTTTGTTCCTGAGAAATCAGGATTTTTCTGTCAGTGTGGTGAGTTGAGCAGAGCGTAGTTTGCAGACTGCTTTTCTTTTGTCATCATCACTCAACTTACTAGAGAAGTGTTTCTCAAATGGTGTGCTGCAGCACACAGGTGTGCCGTGATGCCGCTCCAGGTGTACTGTGGGATTTTGGTATAACCACACATTATTTATTGCAATATTTAGCTGGTTCTACAAAAAGTTATTACTGAATTTTCAGTTGACTGTATCAGTATATTGTGTGCACTAATTTCTGAATAAATTAACTTCTCTCTCAATACTGGACTCATTTCAAACATTCTTTTTCCCATTAGCCACTTAGACACAGACACATGGGATATTAGGGTTCAAGTTGAAAAACAGTGACTTAAACTTGAAGTTTTCTGTCTGTTTCTCAGTGTGTTTGCTGGTGTGCTGGCTGCCCTTCATCTCAGTGTGTCTGTACGAGACAGTCAGTGGTCGGCAGAGTCCAGCTGTGACCTCTGCCCTCTCCGCATGGCTGGTCCTGACCAGCGCCGCCCTCAACCCCTGGATCACCTGTATGACACAGATGTAAGTAAGATTCTGCAAAGGCAAAGCTGATCGTGAATGTCCGACTGTATGATGGACTGAGCTGTGAAACGGCCGTAACACACATGAATGACTGACATGCGTTCATGTGTCTCCAGTAGGTACAGGGCAGCGGTACGTCGGAGCGTCGGCAGGTTTATTCAGATGTGTCTATGTCCTGGGACGCCTCTGGTGTCCCGCCCCCAGAGCTCCACCCTCCACCTGGACACAACCAATCGCATCAGCACGACCACGACGACTACGGCTGCAACACTCCCACCGTCATCACAGAAAACACCAACACCGCCATGATGACCACGCATACACACCAGCTGTACCTGTAGAGACAAACTGTCACACTGCACCGTGGGAAATGGAAATCAGCCCTCCTCGTTCTTCCTCCATCACATACAGAGCCGTCCTCAAATTCAGAGAGACTTCAGACAAACGCTTCATCTGAAGCAGACTGAAGCCTGAGGTTTGATGTTTGTGGTTGTGTGAATGTTGATGTCAGTAAGTTGGTCCATCTGGTTTAAAGTGACACATCTCAACAGCTGCTGGATGTTTTGTCATTACATGTTGTACAGACATTCGTGGTCCCCGGAGGATGAAGCCTGCTGACTTTTCCTATGGCGCCAACATCAGGTTAAAGTGTTCACTTTCACAAAAATTCAGTCCGTCCCAGGGCATCTCTAAAACTAAACACTGAAATCTCTCAGCCAAAAGTGGACTGAGGTTAAGCTGAAGCGGTTCATTGTCTGATGTCCCTGAGCCAGAACACACTCAAACATGAGAACAGTTTGTAAGCAACAGCAGGAGCGAGCAGGCGCTGCAGAGGAGAGGACAGCCTGAAATGTGGTTCTGGTTCTTCTCACAGCTAACGATGCAAAGTGTGAAGAGTTTCAGGAGAAAAAGAGCGTCTAATGTCCAGAGGGTCGCAGCTCTGGTTGTATAATAACCCATAACATAATAATAATAATAAATACTACTAATGATTGTCGACTTCTGTGGGCTTGTTGCTTTTCTTGTGTGTCGGTCTATGTTCAGATTCCTCCTCTCAATCAGTAAACCCTCAATTCACAAAGGATGAAGAATAAAAACTAGAATTACCACCTCATGTTTGAACGCCTCCGCACACCAGACAAGTTGCACTTACAGTTACATTCAGGTCTGTGAAAATGTGGATGCTTCGCACACATCTTCCTCCGGCAGCACAAAATATTTATACAATCAGCACAGTTTCAAGATGGACACCCAAGATTAGAGTCACCAATTCAGTATCAGACCACATCTCCTCTTTTGTTCCTGAGTTATAACAGTGAGACATTATGATGTCACAGTGACCTTGACCTTTAACCTTCGACCATCAAATTCTAGTCAGTTTATTCCTGAGTTCAAGTGGACATTTGTGCCAAATTTGAGGAAACCCAACTATAGCCTCCCAGAGACTCTGCGTTTACGACAAACAGATGCACGCAAAGTCACATTGAACTTTAAACTATGACCACCAAAATCAAATCAGTTCATCGTTGAGTCCAAATTGAAGAAATTCCCTCAAGGTGTTTTAAAGATATCGTGTTCACAAGAATGGGAGAGATGTACATACGGAGGGACGGACAGACAGACGGACAACCCGAAAACATAATGCCTCCAGCCACGACTATCGCTGGCAGGAGGCATAACAAGTAGAGGTCACTTGACTGTGAACGCAGCATCAGTCAACTACATCTGAAACTTTTCTAAGCTGTGATGATCAGTACAATCAATGGATCAGCAGCTTCAGACTGATCTGAGGTCAGCTGTTCCTACCTGGTTCACCACCTCGAAGTACAGAGCCAGCGTGGTGGTCGGATCCAAACCGCAGATCTTCCACTGACACGTTCCTCCTGTTCCGATCTCCTGTAACACACAAACACACACGGGGTTACTGCACAGGACTGTGTGCTACAGAGCACCACAGCATAATACTGCACAGTGCAGTGTACTCACATTCTCAGAGACACAGGGTCCTTTAGCGTTCAGAGACACACACGGTCCGATGGCTCCAGATACTTTGATCTCTCTGGATGTCTGAAACAGAGTGACATGTTTATCATCTATGTATTTATTCACCTGGGACACAGGTGACTCGGGGGCGGGGCCTCCAGGTCATGAGTGTATTAGTAGTAACAAAGGGCCTGTTTAGACCTGTCATTAACATGCATCCTGAGTGGTCCAATCACAAGTGGACAGCGCTGAATACAAGTGTAAATGACCACCAGGACACACTGTAATCTGATCCTTGAACCACTTACTGAGGTGGTCTGGTACACATATAGCCACATATGTTTTGTAGTGTAAACACTAATGCCTGCTGACGCTACCCGACAAAGGTGTAACAGGAAAATATGTCATAAATGCAGAATGTAGTGCTTGTTTTGGTGACAGTGTATCAACGCTGTGTAACTTGCTCTTTTTACAATGAGGTAGTTGTTAGTTAGTTGTTGCACAACCATCCATCTTTTTGCCCTATAGAAGGAGACGGGTTGAATTCTGCTGACAGCGATGTCTCCAGCTGTACCGACACAACAGTTAAGGTGACTATTGAGCATGCTAGCAAGCAACTAGTGAGAATGCAAACTGTGCGCTGGGCCCTTTGACCGTCTAGCATGAGTGATGTAGGCAGTAAGGCAATCTGACCACAAGTGGTGAGCTGATTATGCATGATAGACACAGGTGCGAGCAGCGATAAGTCTCAGCTTTCCACCTGTGTTCGGGCACTGAAATGCATGATAACAGCAGGTCTAAACGGGCCCAAAGTGAAGCTGGTTGTGTTGTTAATGTGTAATTGCACCAGAGACTGACCAGTGCTAGATTTTCAAGACCAATTTGATATGTAACAGTAACAGTAAGTTGCCTGATCTCAAGTCGTAGTGGAACACTGTCTGTCAGAGACTCTGTTTGCAAATGAGCTCAGATCTTTGACTGTGTCGACTCTAAATCGGCTGACCTGACAGCTTGCTTTCGAGAGCCCAACACCCATTAACCATTGACTAACTGGTTAATTTTAAAGAAAAAAACCCCACAAAATTAGATGAAATACAAGAGGCCTTTCCTTTTAATGCACTGCTCCACTGACTCATTGAGCTTTATGTTAGCCTTGGTTGCTCTACAATGTGCAGCAGCTGGGTCAGGTGGGAGCTAGCTAGTGGCACCAATCATTTGTGAATTACAGCTGTGAACACCGTCCTGCCACCATGACAGTGCGGTTGTGCCGACCCTCCAGTCTCCCTGAAGGTTGCCCTGGTGAGTAAAAAGCTTCATTTTAAGCCAAAAACCTCTTTAGAGTTGTTAACTATGTTAGCACCAGTAGCTGCTAAAGGTGCTAACATAGCTGCTTAGTCATCGAGGTGATCTGTGAGAAGACCAGAGGGTGGGAACAATATTTCCATAGCAACGCCGTTGGGTTGCGATGCCGTTTTGAGCAATACTTGCAGAATGACCAGCACCGCTACCTAGCTCCCACCACATCCAGGTTGTGTGCAGTGCAGTGAAACTGAAGAGTACCAAAATTAACCTATTGACCCTCATGTGTAACTGTTTAAAAATTTTTATCAGAGGTTAACCACTGACATCACTAGTTCATACCTTGACCTCCAGCGCGGCAGCGAAGGCCATCTTGAAGGATCCCTGGACGTCTTTGGTGAAAACTCTCTGGAAGGTTTGTTTGAAGAGAGACGTGTTGAAGGAGTCGGCCATCACCATGTAACCTCTACAGAGCACAACATACACACTGTTTAAGCCTTTACAGGTGATGAGAGGACAGAGTAACGTCAACAAACTCCCAATATGAGTCCCAATGTGTGATCAGTTTATCCAGATAAAGCCTGTCTGGAAATTTGTGCGAATGTTTTGGGAGCGGTGAAGAGCCGCTGGCTGTGAGAGAGCACCCAGGTTGTGGAACATGTTTTTTTATGATTTAAGTGTAAAAACTGAGCAACTGGTTTCTGCATTACATAACGGTTAACATATCAGCTGACGACTGTGTGTGAGAGTGTGTGTGTGTGTGTGTGTACCCGGTATAGTTGGCGCAGCACTTCATCTCCAGCAGGCCGGTCTGATCAAGAGCACAGGCGTAGATGTCGATGATGTGGCCGTTAGTGGACGCTCTGTTAGCTAGAGACTCATAGTGCTACACCACACACATACACACACACACACACACACACACACACACACATACACACACACACATACACACACGATGAAATCAATATCAAAATCAGCTTTATTGGCCAAACACTGTGTGTGAACACCAACGAGAAGTTCCACTTTTTGTACAGACTGGACGGTTATGAACACAAAGAGGAAGAATATATGGAATGAAACTTGAATATATTAAATGAAAGTTTGAATAAATTGAATTAAAGTCTAAATATATTGAATGAGAATCAGAATATATTAAGTGAAAGTCTGAATATATTGACTTAAAGTTTGAATACATTGAATAAACGTCTAAATATAATGAATGAAAGTTGGAATAAATTGGATGAAAATCAGAATATATTAAGTGAAAGTCTGAATATATTGACTGAAAATTAGAATATATTAAATGAAAGGCTGAATATATTGAATAAACCTCTAAATATAATGAATGAAAGTATGAATAAACTGAATGAAAATCAGAATATATGAAGTGAAAGTCTGAATATATTGACTGAAAGTTTGAATACATTGAATAAACGTCTAAATATAATGAATGAAAGTTGGAATAAATTGGATGAAAATCAGAATATATTAAGTGAAAGTCTGAATATATTGACTGAAAATTAGAATATATCAAATGAAACTTTGAATATATTGAACAACAGTCAGAATATATTGGATGAAACTTGAGAACACTGCAAGTCTGCAATATGTAGATATTTATGAAAAAGGCCAATGTTGCGTTTATTGTAAAAAAAAAAAAATAGTACAAATAAATAAATGGTGGATGAATAAACATGGGCTGGGTGATTATGCGCATGTTTATATGTTTATATACACTGTTCAGGATTCATACTGACAGTATGTGACCCCAGCTCATCCTCTAACCGCACACTATACAAACTTAAAAAACTTAATCAGCATTATTCTTCACTCACCTTGGTGGCTTTCTTCATGAACTTGGCGTTGTCCTTCTCGAGGTCGTGCCAGGACCTGATGGGGGTCTTTAGTTCATCCCCCACCACCATGCCGGGGCCTTGCGTGGCTGGGCCTCCGATGAAGGTCATGATCCGAGCGCCCGTGTTAGGGAAGGTGCACTGTGAGTAAAAGACACAGATTCTGTGTGACATGATGCTGACGTGTCACCGCTCCTGAATTAACACCTGCCTGCCCCCCCTCACCTCCAGCAGGCCCACAGCAATGGACATGGCAACGCCCAGCGAGCGCAGTGGTCTCTTTCCCTGAGTGACGGGCCAGGGGTCGCGCTGCAGCTCCCCCAGCAGGTCAGTCAGGTTCATGTCGATCTTCTGCACCGGCTGCAGGAACCTAAAGAGAACATATTTCAAAATACTGCGTGCTGACACCCAGAAAAACACTTCAAACCCTGAGTGACGCCACAAATACAAACTGCACTGCCTGAAACACAAGGGTCCTCACAAATGTGCGTGTGTGTTTACCTGTTGGACAGAGGCTGTTGGGCAGGTTGAGGTCCTCGTCCCTGAGTGGCTGAAGGTTTAGTCAGACCGAGCATCTCCTGCAAAGCCACAAACAATGCACACCTAGTTAGTTAGCGCTGTTTGGTAACACCAGAGACAGACAGGTAAACCTGGAGCATGGGGCACATCTTAGACTGCTGCCACCAACACACAGGCCCTGACAGGTGGATGTTTAGAAGATTGACCAGCTATTGTATCTGTGAGGACCAGCAGCGACCCGTTGGTCTGGTCCCAGTGTGAGTTAGGTACCTGGAGCTGCTTGGCGTTCAGGTCCTTGGTGCCCCTGAAGACGTAGCTCTTGGAAATCCCCTCACAGCCCAGCTCGTGAACCTGAACCATGCGGCCGAAGGTGATGAGTCCGACCAGTGCGGTGGGAGGCAGCAGAGACAGGGACATCTGCAGGGACTCCTTCAGAGCCTGCAGGTCCTCGTCCTCCATACAGGTGTCCACCACGTACAGGAAGACCAGTGGCATCTGAGGGCCTCGCTAAGGAAAGAGACCACATCTGGTTATACACCTGACAACATGATGTGTGTGTGTGTGTGTGTGTGTGTGTGTCAGTCTTACCTGGACCACATACTCGATGGTGGAGAACTGAGGCAGCAGCTCAGCTGGTTGGTTCACCTCAGAGATTCCAGCGTAAGATGGAGGAAACTGCAACAGAACAAAGTGTCACGCTGTGAGTGTGTGTGTGTGTGTGTGTGTGTGTGTGTGTGTGCTCCTCATCTATGTTTGTGAGGACATTTAAGTGTGTTTATACTGAACCTGGTTCCTCTGGTAGCAGAAGTTACAGGCCCACAGCTTGGCTCTGTAGTCCACCTGACTGGAACACACAGACAGGTACATGTTAGAAGGATGTATGTTAAATGGATATATTTCAGATGAGTACATGTTAGAAGAGCGTATGTTGGAAGAGTGCATGCTAGAGTGTATGTTATAAGAGTGCATGTTAGAGTGCATGTTAGAAGAGTACATGTTAGAGTGCAAGTTAGAAGAGTGCATGTTAGAGTGCATGTTAGAAGAGTACATGTTAGAGTGCAAGTTAGAAGAGTGCATGTTAGAGTGCATGTTAGAGTGCATGTTAGAGTGCATGTTAGAGTACATGTTAGAGTGCATGTTAGAAGAGTACATGTTAGAGTGCATGTTAGAAGAGTGCATGTTAGAAGAGTACATGTTAGAAGAGTGCATGTTAGAATGCATGTTAGAAGAGTACATGTTAGAAGAATGCATGTTAGAGTGCATGTTAGAAGAGTACATGTTAGAGGAGTGCATGTTAGAGTGTATGTTAGAAGAATGCATGTTAGAGTACATGTTAGAAGAGTACATGTTAGAGGAGTGCATGTTAGAGTGTATGTTAGAAGAATGCATGTTAGAGTACATGTTAGAAGAGTACATGTTAGAGGAGTGCATGTTAGAGTGTATGTTAGAAGAATGCATGTTAGAGTACATGTTAGAAGAGTACATGTTAGAGGAGTGCATGTTAGAGTGTATGTTAGAAGAATGCATGTTAGAGTACATGTTAGAAGAGTACATGTTAGAGGAGTGCATGTTAGAGTGTATGTTAGAAGAATGCATGTTAGAGTACATGTTAGAAGAGTACATGTTAGAGGAGTGCATGTTAGAGTGTATGTTAGAAGAATGCATGTTAGAGTACATGTTAGAAGAGTACATGTTAGAGGAGTGCATGTTAGAGTGTATGTTAGAAGAATGCATGTTAGAGTACATGTTAGAAGAGTACATGTTAGAGGAGTGCATGTTAGAGTGTATGTTAGAAGAATGCATGTTAGAGTACATGTTAGAAGAGTACATGTTAGAAGAGTGCATGTTAGAGTACATGTTAGAAGAGTACATGTTAGAAGAGTGCATGTTAGAAGAGTACATGTTAGAAGAGTGCATGTTAGAAGGGTGCATGTTAGAAGGGTGCATGTTAGAGTACATGTTAGAAGAGTGCATGTTAGAGTACATGTTAGAGTGCATGTTAGAAGGGTGCATGTTAGAAGAGTGCATGTTAGAAGAGTGCATGTTAGAGTACATGTTAGAGTACATGTTAGAAGAGTACATGTTAGAAGAGTGCATGTTAGAAGAGTACATGTTAGAAGAGTACATGTTAGAGTACATGTTAGAAGAGTGCATGTTAGAAGAGTACATGTTAGAAGAGTAGATGTTAGAAGAGTGCATGTTAGAAGAGTGCATGTTAGAGTACATGTTAGAAGAGTGCATGTTAGAAGAGTGCATGTTAGAAGAGTACATGTTAGAGTGCATGTTAGAGTACATGTTAGAGTGCATGTTAGAAGAGTGCATGTTAGAAGAGTACATGTTAGAGTGCATGTTAGAAGAGTGCATGTTAGAAGAGTACATGTTAGAGTGCATGTTAGAAGAGTGCATGTTAGAAGAGTACATGTTAGAGTACATGTTAGAAGAGTGCTAGAGTACATGTTAGAAGAGTGCATGTTAGAAGAGTGCATGTTAGAGTACATGTTAGAAGAGTGCATGTTAGAAGAGTGCATGTTAGAGTACATGTTAGAAGAGTGCATGTTAGAAGAGTACATGTTAGAAGAGTACATGTTAGAAGAGTGCATGTTAGAGTACATGTTAGAAGAGTGCATGTTAGAAGAGTGCATGTTAGAAGAGTAGATGTTAGAAGAGTGCATGTTAGAAGAGTGCATGTTAGAGTACATGTTAGAAGAGTGCATGTTAGAAGAGTACATGTTAGAGTGCATGTTAGAGTACATGTTAGAGTGCATGTTAGAAGAGTGCATGTTAGTAGAGTACATGTTAGAGTGCATGTTAGAAGAGTGCATGTTAGAAGAGTACATGTTAGAGTGCATGTTAGAAGAGTGCATGTTAGAAGAGTACATGTTAGAGTGCATGTTAGAAGAGTGCATGTTAGAAGAGTACATGTTAGAGTACATGTTAGAAGAGTGCATGTTAGAAGAGTACATGTTAGAGTGCATGTTAGAAGAGTGCATGTTAGAAGAGTACATGGTAGAGTACATGTTAGAAGAGTGCATGTTAGAAGAGTACATGTTAGAAGAGTACATGTTAGAAGAGTGCATGTTAGAGTACATGTTAGAAGAGTGCATGTTAGAAGAGTGCATGTTAGAAGAGTACATGTTAGAAGAGTGCATGTTAGAAGAGTGCATGTTAGAGTACATGTTAGAAGAGTGCATGTTAGAAGAGTACATGTTAGAGTGCATGTTAGAAGAGTGCATGTTAGAAGAGTACATGTTAGAGTGCATGTTAGAAGAGTGCATGTTAGAAGAGTGCATGTTAGAGTACATGTTAGAAGAGTGCATGTTAGAAGAGTACATGTTAGAAGAGTACATGTTAGAAGAGTGCATGTTAGAGTACATGTTAGAAGAGTGCATGTTAGAAGAGTGCATGTTAGAAGAGTAGATGTTAGAAGAGTGCATGTTAGAAGAGTGCATGTTAGAGTACATGTTAGAAGAGTGCATGTTAGAAGAGTACATGTTAGAGTGCATGTTAGAGTACATGTTAGAGTGCATGTTAGAAGAGTGCATGTTAGAAGAGTACATGTTAGAGTGCATGTTAGAAGAGTGCATGTTAGAAGAGTACATGTTAGAGTACATGTTAGAAGAGTGCATGTTAGAAGAGTACATGTTAGAAGAGTACATGTTAGAAGAGTGCATGTTAGAGTACATGTTAGAAGAGTGCATGTTAGAAGAGTGCATGTTAGAAGAGTAGATGTTAGAAGAGTGCATGTTAGAAGAGTGCATGTTAGAGTACATGTTAGAAGAGTGCATGTTAGAAGAGTACATGTTAGAGTGCATGTTAGAGTACATGTTAGAGTGCATGTTAGAAGAGTGCATGTTAGAAGAGTACATGTTAGAGTGCATGTTAGAAGAGTGCATGTTAGAAGAGTACATGTAAGAGTACATGTTAGAAGAGTGCATGTTAGAAGAGTGCATGTTAGAGTACATGTTAGAAGAGTGCATGTTAGAAGAGTGCATGTTAGAGTACATGTTAGAAGAGTGCATGTTAGAAGAGTGCATGTTAGAGTACATGTTAGAAGAGTGCATGTTAGAAGAGTGCATGTTAGAGTACATGTTAGAAGAGTGCATGTTAGAAGAGTGCATGTTAGAGTACATGTTAGAAGAGTGCATGTTAGAAGAGTGCATGTTAGAGTACATGTTAGAAGAGTGCATGTTAGAAGAGTACATGTTAGAGTACATGTTAGAAGAGTGCATGTTAGAAGAGTACATGTTAGAGTGCATGTTAGAAGAGTGCATGTTAGTAGAGTACATGTTAGAGTGCATGTTAGAAGAGTGCATGTTAGAAGAGTACATGTTAGAGTGCATGTTAGAAGAGTGCATGTTAGAAGAGTACATGTTAGAGTACATGTTAGAAGAGTGCATGTTAGAAGAGTACATGTTAGAGTACATGTTAGAAGAGTGCATGTTAGAAGAGTACATGTTAGAGTACATGTTAGAAGAGTGCATGTTAGAAGAGTACATGTTAGAGTGCATGTTAGAAGAGTGCATGTTAGAAGAGTACATGTTAGAGTACATGTTAGAAGAGTGCATGTTAGAAGAGTACATGTTAGAGTGCATGTTAGAAGAGTGCATGTTAGAAGAGTACATGTTAGAGTGCATGTTAGAAGAGTGCATGTTAGAAGAGTACATGTTAGAGTACATGTTAGAAGAGTGCATGTTAGAAGAGTACATGTTAGAAGAGTACATGTTAGAAGAGTGCATGTTAGAGTACATGTTAGAAGAGTGCATGTTAGAAGAGTGCATGTTAGAAGAGTAGATGTTAGAAGAGTGCATGTTAGAAGAGTGCATGTTAGAGTACATGTTAGAAGAGTGCATGTTAGAAGAGTACATGTTAGAGTGCATGTTAGAGTACATGTTAGAGTGCATGTTAGAAGAGTGCATGTTAGTAGAGTACATGTTAGAGTGCATGTTAGAAGAGTGCATGTTAGAAGAGTACATGTTAGAGTGCATGTTAGAAGAGTGCATGTTAGAAGAGTACATGTTAGAGTGCATGTTAGAAGAGTGCATGTTAGAAGAGTACATGTTAGAGTGCATGTTAGAAGAGTGCATGTTAGAAGAGTACATGTTAGAGTGCATGTTAGAAGAGTGCATGTTAGAAGAGTACATGTTAGAGTGCATGTTAGAAGAGTGCATGTTAGAAGAGTACATGTTAGAGTACATGTTAGAAGAGTGCATGTTAGAAGAGTACATGTTAGAGTGCATGTTAGAAGAGTGCATGTTAGTAGAGTACATGTTAGAGTGCATGTTAGAAGAGTGCATGTTAGAAGAGTACATGTTAGAGTGCATGTTAGAAGAGTGCATGTTAGAAGAGTACATGTTAGAGTACATGTTAGAAGAGTGCATGTTAGAAGAGTACATGTTAGAGTGCATGTTAGAGTACATGTTAGAGTGCATGTTAGAAGAGTGCATGTTAGAAGAGTACATGTTAGAGTGCATGTTAGAAGAGTGCATGTTAGAAGAGTACATGTTAGAGTGCATGTTAGAAGAGTGCATGTTAGAAGAGTACATGTTAGAGTGCATGTTAGAAGAGTGCATGTTAGAAGAGTACATGTTAGAGTGCATGTTAGAAGAGTGCATGTTAGAAGAGTACATGTTAGAGTGCATGTTAGAAGAGTGCATGTTAGAAGAGTACATGTTAGAGTGCATGTTAGAAGAGTGCATGTTAGAAGAGTACATGTTAGAGTGCATGTTAGAAGAGTGCATGTTAGAAGAGTACATGTTAGAGTGCATGTTAGAAGAGTGCATGTTAGAAGAGTACATGTTAGAGTGCATGTTAGAAGAGTGCATGTTAGAAGAGTACATGTTAGAGTACATGTTAGAAGAGTGCATGTTAGAAGAGTACATGTTAGAGTGCATGTTAGAAGAGTGCATGTTAGAAGAGTACATGTTAGAGTACATGTTAGAAGAGTGCTAGAGTATATGTTAGAAGAGTACATGTTAGAAGAGTGCATGTTAGAGTACATGTTAGAGTACATGTTAGAAGAGTGCATGTTAGAGTACATGTTAGAAGAGTGCATGACTTCACAGAGCTACACTAAATGTGTGAGAGTGTGCGGTGACCTCTGACCCTGGACTGTGACCTCCCCATCTGGTAGGCTAGGGCACTATCTACTTTTTTTATACCTTCATACTGACATTACAGCGAGGTTTATGACGGTAATTGTGTTTTGTTTTTTAAAAAAGGATGCTGAGCTGCTGGTGATAGAAGTCATTGTTGCCATGGTTACAGTGGTTTATCGTTACACCGGTAACCCTCAGCCCCTAATCCCCATCACCCGCAGTAGCCATCTTTCACTGCTCAGCTGCCTGTTCCGACAGTAGAGACTGACCTCTGGTGGCCAGTGATGTGCACTACATACAGTACACCTCAACAACAGCCTCTCAGAAATATGAGCGTCTGTATTTTTGACGGTATTAAAAATCATACCGTCACGATTTCTATATACCCTGGTATACTTGGATACCGCTAGAGCCTACCGTCTGTGATCTCTGACTGTGATGTCACATGAGTGATTGGTGATGCTTACCACAGTGGGTTGAGCACAGCGCGGCAGGTGGCGCGGCTGCAGAGAACCGGTTCATACTGGATGGGCGGCAGGTCGGGCCGTTCCTTCAGCGGGGTGAACAGGGCTGAAACGGGGACCACCATCCGGGTCGCCTCCAGCCTGCTGGACGGCCAGACGTTCCAGCTGAAACGCACGCCGTCTCGCTCCTCGTTTGAAGCGATGTACTCTGGGAAAGTCGCCATGGCAATGCAGGCTGATGGGAGGGGTCAGACACACTGTCAGGTAAAAGCTGTGGGGAGGGAGAGGAAACAACATCAGTGTACTGCAGTACTGCTAAGTTTACAGTAGTACCACTAACCATACTGTAGTATTAATAACTGCAGTACTACTAACTATACTGTAGAACTACTAATTACTACTAACTATACTGCAGTACTGCCAACTGTAGTACTACTAACTATACTGTGGTACTTCTAACTATACTGTAGAACTACTAATTACTACTAATTATACTGCAGTACTGCCAACTGTAGTACTACTAACTATACTGTAGAACTGCTAATTACTACTAACTATACTGCAGTACTGCCAACTGTAGTACTACTAACTGCAGTACTGCCAATTGTAGTACTACTAACTATACTGCAGTACTGCCAACTGTAGTACTACTAACTATACTGTAGAACTACTAATTACTACTAACTACACTGCAGTACTATTAACTTTAAAACTTTACTGCAGTACTACTAACTTTACAATAATACTGCTAACTATACTGCAGTACTACTAACTTTAAACTTTACTGCAGCAATACTGACTTCACAATAGTAGTACTAATATTACTATAGTACTACTAATAGTGCAATACTACTAATGTCCTGCAGTAGTGAACCCTATACATGGTAACGACCCTCTCAGTCAGGACAAACTCAGTTGAGTCAGTAACGTTGTTGGTTTTTTACTTTAATTTAGAAATTGAACAATTAACTGAATAATTGATTAATCAGTGAAATATAGTCTTAAATAGTTTTTCTTAACTCTACCTCTCCACTAAGTAATAATTAGTTGCAGCCCTGCTGTACTTGTGTTGTGTACAGTACTTGAGTAAATGTACTTAGGTAAATTCCACCGCTGTTTTTGGACAATCCTGAAATTCCTCTACCACCGCCCCACCCACCTCAGAGGCCACCCACCTGAGAAATCACCCACCTGAGAGGCCACCACCAACATCTGTACCATTTTATGTATTTAAGTATTTAAAGAAAGGAATCACCTATCATTATCCAGCTTTCAGACAGTAGTACTGCAGTAAACATTAAAGTATTTCCCTCTGAAATGCAGAAAAATCAAGTTCAAAGTTGCAGAAAATGGAAACAGTACATGTAGAAATACAGTTAAACTACAGTACTGCAGTAAGTGTACCTGCGCCACTGCTGTCTAACACTGTAATAAAGACACTATCAGGTAATCAATCATGCCTGATCATCAATCAGAGCAGATGACAGTTAATATGTAACTCTGATATTTCAAGTCCAGCCTATCAGTCTGAATATAAAAGATGCTGCGACAGAAACCAGGCTGACGTCAGTGAGTACCTGTGTGACGCGTCCAGGTAGAGAAACTGAGTGTCAGTGTCGCACCTGAATATATTCACTCACACAGAAATAAAATAAAACTATTTATAATCTGCAGAGTTGAGTTCAGTCCAGTTAGCCTCAGGGCTAACCGCTAACAGCAGCTGACTGAGCAGGTAAACAGCAGCGTCATGAAAAGGTGACGTGCTCGGGGTGACCACACAGGTAACCTGACGGGGTCCAGGTGAGACTGTAGGTCTGTCAGGTCCAGGTGTGTCTCTCTATGAAGGTAAATCAGTCACTCACCGCCGCTCTGCTGCCGCTGCTGCCGCTCCTCTCTACTGACAACGAAGCAAAACAACATGGCGGCGGCCCGGCGCCACGTCAAGACACAGATAGGAGAAACAGGAAGAGGTCTCACTCTGGGCGACATTCAGGAACCACATTCGTCAATACTAACAGAGAGGAGCCACAAGTGCTATATCGCAGACAACTGGACGTGCTTCTTAAGATCAGAAAAAACAACAACAACAAAAAAACATTTATATATATTGCTATAATAAACATATTATGATTTATATATATAATATAGGCTATATACATTTTAAATTTTCAATGTAAATTAATAGAACGAAATTCAATGCACAAAAGAAAACAGAACTCATTTAAAAGTAATAAATAATAAAGGTTAAAGGATAAAATATCATTCATTCCTACTCTAAACACACACACACACACACACACACACACACATATGCACATACAAGCAGTGCCAACATATGCCGTGAACACGAATAAGTTAAAATTATTTGCACACAAAATAAATAAATAAATAAATAAAATCATTGCACAGCAAATATTACTGGTAGTAATAATGGCTGTAAAGGTCCACAGACAGAGGGTGTCGTATGTCAAAGCCCTCTGAAGCAACAAAAAAAAAGATTGATGATTTGATTAGTGTACATAAATGATAAAATGTGCCATGTAAAAAAAAAAAAGAAAAAACCCCCACATGTATATATTTATCTTTAATAGTTTCTATTGTTATTATGTTATTTTATGTGCTTGTAATTACATATTTATATTATTTTTACCTTCCTCTGTGTACCTGTACTTTCTCTGTCTTCGTGCTGCTGAATTCCTCCAGAGATAAATAAAAGTTAATCTTATCTTCGGAAACCTTGTTGCAGCTTTAAAGGTCATAGAAAAAGTATTCACATTACAGTAGGTGTATTTTTTCACAAACGTTAAAGTATTACGACATTAAAACAAATAATATTGAGTACAACATAATTCTGAGAAGAACAATCACACAACAGATTATTTTGACATTAACACATTTGAGTCAGTCGACTGATCTCTTTAAGAATATTTTGACTCTATTTTCTTGATGTAGTTCCTCATAGAGCTGACTCCAAACCTATGTGGGCTGAGACGTCACTTGAGGTTAACCTCTGGTAAACTGTGACGGAGTCTGTACACACATTCCACGACAGAGTGATTCATCATATCAACATAGGATCTTTGGTGGAGACTCACCCACAGTGCTAACCCCAAACACCTAAACTTTTAAAGCAGTGGTGGAAATAGCATCTTTTAAATGTATGCTCAGTAGAAAAAGTGGCGATCAGGAGACAGAGTGTCTCCCTGGGACCGGGTGTGGACTCAAATCAAAATGGAAGATAAGCCTACATGACTATGTGACACTGTAGAGTGATGTATGAGGACATGTGTGTGCCATGTTTTTGTTTATTAGCTTGTCTTCTTCTCTTTCCTTCTAAACTTTAATTTTTCTTTATGTACTGGAGTCAGCCTCCATATTGGAAAAAATACATACCTTGTATTCTTGTATGCCCAGAAAGTAATATATATACAGTACAGGCCAAAAGTTTGGACACACCTTCTCATTCAATGCGTTTTCTTTATTTTCATGACTATTTACATTGTAGATTCTCACTGAAGGCATCAAAACTATGAATGAACACATGTGGAGTTATGTACTTAACAAAAAAAGGTGAAATAACTGAAAACATGTTTTATATTCTAGTTTCTTCAAAATAGCCACCCTTTGCTCTGATTACTGCTTTGCACACTCTTGGCATTCTCTCCATGAGCTTCAAGAGGTAGTCACCTGAAATGGTTTCCACTTCACAGGTGTGCCTTATCAGGGTTAATTAGTGGAATTTCTTGCTTTATCAATGGGGTTGGGACCATCAGTTGTGTTGTGCAGAAGTCAGGTTAATACACAGCCGACAGCCCTATTGGACAACTGTTAAAATTCATATTATGGCAAGAACCAATCAGCTAACTAAAGAAAAACGAGTGGCCATCATTACTTTAAGAAATGAAGGTCAGTCAGTCCGGAAAATTGCAAAAACTTTAAATGTGTCCCCAAGTGGAGTCGCAAAAACCATCAAGCGCTACAACGAAACTGGCACACATGAGGACCGACCCAGGAAAGGAAGACCAAGAGTCACATCTGCTTCTGAGGATAAGTTCATCCGAGTCACCAGCCTCAGAAATCGCAAGTTAACAGCAGCTCAGATCAGAGACCAGATGAATGCCACACAGAGTTCTAGCAGCAGACCCATCTCTAGAACAACTGTTAAGAGGAGACTGCGCCAATCAGGCCTTCATGGTCAAATAGCTGCTAGGAAACCACTGCTAAGGAGAGGCAACAAGCAGAAGAGATTTGTTTGGGCCAAGAAACACAAGGAATGGACATTAGACCAGTGGAAATCTGTGCTTTGGTCTGATGAGTCCAAATTTGAGATCTTTGGTTCCAACCGCCGTGTCTTTGTGAGACGCAGAAAAGGTGAACGGATGGATTCCACATGCCTGGTTCCCACTGTGAAGCATGGAGGAGGAGGTGTGATGGTGTGGGGGTGTTTTGCTGGTGACACTGTTGGGGATTTATTCAAAATTGAAGGCACACTGAACGACATGCCATCCCATCCGGTTTGCGTTTAGTTGGACGATCATTTATTTTTCAACAGGACAATGACCCCAAACACACCTCCAGGCTGTGTAAGGGCTATTTGACCAAGAAGGAGAGTGATGGAGTGCTGCGGCAGATGACCTGGCCTCCACAGTCACCGGACCTGAACCCAATCCAGATGGTTTGGGGTGAGCTGGACCGCAGAGTGAAGGCAAAGGGGCCAACAAGTGCTAAACACCTCTGGGAACTCCTTCAAGACTGTTGGAAAACCATTTCAGGTGACTACCTCTTGAAGCTCATGGAGAGAATGCCAAGAGTGTGCAAAGCAGTAATCAGAGCAAAGGGTGGCTATTTTGAAGAAACTAGAATATAAAACATGTTTTCAGTTATTTCACCTTTTTTTGTTAAGTACATAACTCCACATGTGTTCATTCATAGTTTTGATGCCTTCAGTGAGAATCTACAATGTAAATAGTCATGAAAATAAAGAAAACGCATTGAATGAGAAGGTGTGTCCAAACTTTTGGCCTGTACTGTATGTCATGTACCAAGCCTTTCAAACCAATAAATACTTGAATTCTGAATAAAAAAAATTAATTAAAAAAACAACTTAAATTAAATCCGTACTCTGACGTGATGGTGATTTAAATAACGTTTTAAGTCAATATTAGATTTTTTTAGGTCAAAATTAAACATTTAATTCAATCTGTCACAGTAATTTCTGACTTAAGTCTTTTAATGTGAACTGTTTTTTTTCCGTTTCTGTTCAAAAACCTATGAAGGTAAATATCCTCAACATACCCACTCTGATCTGGTTTAAAAAGGTTGTGTGTTTGTGCATAGATATGACATACGATTAGTTATAATTATATGATTATAATTGTCGTAACTTTTTTTTAAGTCAACCCATCAAAATGAAATGAAATGAAATAAAAACACCGCAGGTTTAAAATGGTGCAATACAAATGTTTATTATATGACAAAAATACTGTCACTACCTAATGTTATCATCATCATCATCATCGTGTGGCATCTCCTCGTCCAATCAGGACGGACTCTCTGCTCTGTTTAAATCTTATACACAAACATCTTATACAGAATTAAATTAACGAGGCCCAAAAACACCCAGCTTGTCCTCCTCTCCATCATTTAAAGGAGCAGTCCCAACAAGTTTCAGTTGGAAGAAAACTGCTCCTTTAAATCATCGCTACTCTTCTTCTGGTGTTTTTCTAAAAGCAGCAGACGACAGAACGAAAATTCAAACATCCTGCTTTTATTTTGTCTCTCAATGTTTCCTGCTCTCTCTCTCTCTCTCTCTCACTCTCCGAGCCCCGCCCCTCTCCACCTGTACCTGTCAGGGGGCGGAGCTTTAAGTTGTAGTTTGTATGTTTTAAGGCAGCTTGTTGGTCGGCGGTCACATGTTGTTGAATCCCATCATGCCTTTCATGTTGCCGGCCGCTCCCTGCTGAAACTGACGCATCATTGACTGAAGGCCTGCCATACCACCTTAAAAACAAAACACACGTCATTATGTTAATTGTTATTCACCAGCCGTCTGTCAGGCTCCATTTTTTTATATTACTAAACTTTAATTGATGTGAACTTCCTGTCCGACTGAATGAAGTCGTGTCATAGTAAGATCCTGCAAGTGTGACAGACAGGTGGTCTGGACAGGTAAACCAGGACTCACCCATGTGGTGCAGGACTCGGGGGTCCATCATTTTGGCCATCTGCTGGTTCAGTTTAGCCATCTGAGACGGGTTCACGTTCTTCGACATATCTCCTCCTGGAAAACGCCAAATAAACATCAGACACAGGTTCAACCCCCAGACTGCTCAGTCCCCGACGGTCCCCCACGGCGCCCCCTCATCCTCCCCTCGGCTGCTCTGTCTCTACCTTTAAAGAGTCCCTTGATGCCGCCCATCTTCTTCACCATCTGGGCGAACTTGGTGTACTGAGTCAGCAGCTCCTGGACGTCTCTGGTGGCGACTCCAGACCCCCGAGCGACTCTCTGGATCCTGTTGGGCTGCTTACTGAACAGCTTTGCTCCATCTTTACTGTCCAGTTCTGAGGAGACACACAGAGAAAAAAAATGAACCACTAAAATTAGCGTCTTATGTAGGAATTATTTAGCTATAATTAAAAACTTAAATTCTTTGTGTGTGTGTGTTACCCTGGTCGTTCATGCTGTCCATGATCGTCATCAGTTTTTTCAGTCTGGCCATTGATTCTTGTTCATTTCCTTTACTCATGAAGTCTGTACCGAAACCAGGAATCATCCCCTGAACGCATCACAGACAGACAGACAGACAGAGTCAGTTACTGCTTAAATCCAGGTCATGTGACTCTCAGGTGTGAGCAGTGTTTACCATGATCTGTCCGAAGGGTCCCATCTTCATGATGTTCTGGAACTGCTCGTACATGTCTCTGAGGGTGAACTG